AGGAGACCCTAATATCTGATCGCGAACAGACGAATACTCTGGAGGTAGGCCATACAGAGCTAGAAGCATGAAGAAGGATCGACGTTGTTCAAGTTCCTTAGCAGTGGTAGCAACTGGGGGCAATAATTCATTGAAATCATGAAGAAGACCTTGAACACGACCCAAGTATTCAGCCATAGAACCATCCAGGTGACGAGGGGAAATAATATTCTGCAAATTTTGACACACTCCATATAAGCGTTGTGTATCATTGGTATAAAGGATCTTAGCCTGTGCCCAAACAGATTCGCAAGAGGAATAATGAGAGAACAAGAGGAATGTTGGATTGAATCCGTGTGTTTGAATTACACATCGGAGCTCATTATATATAATAGGAGGCATAAATGCCATAGTAATTACATAATATTCTATAATAATTACATAATATTCTATTTCCTATTTACATGATATCCTAATTACTTACAGAATATTCTATTTACATAATATGGAATATTCCGATATCTAACAGGTCCAATATTAAGTTGCAACGACAGGTTCACAGGATTCCGTTATTGTTTTGATTTCTTAAACATCGATATATAGTGTTTCAGCAAAGTGCTTGTAGTGGGGGATCCATATATCTCCAGTTAATTGGAAATCTAACCAACATCTTCTCCTTTTGGCAATTTCACATAGATGTCAAGCAGATTCGAGGTATTGGCTTGCATGTTTCCAGACTTGAAAGTAGCGAGACATCTAAGCAAGGTACCTGTATTATTTTCAATGAAGTTTAACCCGACTGCTGTAATGAGATACTTTTTTATTGTGCATGCTACTAAGTTTATAAGTGATGTACTGAACTGAATGTGAACATCTTTTTGTAAGCTGAGATTTGCTACTTATCTTCCCGTCCAAACAATTTTTCTGCTTTCCTTGGTTTAGAGCTATGGTTTTATTGTTTTTGTTAATATTATAGGAATAGTTTGCAAGTATACTTTAGGATATTCTAGCATATGTTCCTTTATATTCCTTTCTCATCAATGCATGTAACTGTCTAGTGCCTATATAATAGAATTTCTGTGACGCTATTGAGACACACGGTTTCAGCTTATGTCTCATATTCTCTTACATTCTTTAAATAAATTTCAATACTTTTTTGTGATTATCTAATATTATTTATTTCACGAAGGTGCAGAAAAATATAATTTGAAATCATGGTTCACTTCAGGACCTGCAAGCATGGATAAAAGGAAACATCCTACGGGTAATTGTTGTTTTTTCATTTTGGGATTTTGTTAATGATTAAATTAATAAAAGTGATTTCTGGTGGTTTCTCTTTCTTCAGGTCATGACAAGCAGAACGCGGATGGCCCTTCGGTTCATGAATGTAGAAATTTGCCAGGGTCTTCAGTTCCAATGGAAAATAACATACAAGATAACCAAGCTAGAGCTGACCAGATTTTATCACCACCTCTTTTGAGTGGCCTTGATATGGAAGTTATGAGCAATCTTCCCCCAGAATTATTTTCAGAATTCAATGAATTTTATGGAGGGAAGTTAGCTGATTATATTACTAAAGGGAAAGGCATAAGTGAGAATTCTAGCGCTTTACGAAACTCTCTTTTGGAAAAAGAAGGTAAGCATTTCTCTATTTCATTAGCCTAGCTACTTTGGACTGACGAGGGATGCTCAACTCAAATCTGCTCACAAGCTTTCAAATTTTTCTCCAGCAGCAATAAAAAAGAAAGAGGAGCTTTTGTATGTTGAGCCGATTCCTCAAAAAAAGCCATTATCTGAAATCGAGGTAATTGTGTTTTTATTAAATTCCAACTCCTATGACCCTTCCCCACCCAATTCATTGATCTTGTAACTCGAAGTTACAGACTTGATTCATTAGATTAAAATAATTTAAGTCCTGTTTACTTTTATTTGGTATTATTTTATCGTACTTCATGTCTAAGAATATTTTGATTAGCAACATTTATCATGGTTTACTGCCAGGCAATGCAACATGAGGCAGAAGGAGGGGAAGTTGTACCTGATTCAGTGTCTGAACCCTCTTTTAATGTCACTCACAAATCAAGTTTTGAAAAAGATGATGTATTGCCTGCTTCTTTAAGTCAAGTTGACGACTCTGTGTTACAAGAATTGCCCGAGGATTTGAAAGCATTCATTGTTCTGCAGCTTCCTGCACACAGGGAACAGGAGATTTGCTCCAATGTTGCTCTGGTCCCTCCTAGTGAAAACCATCAGGTGTCAATAGGTGTCGACGATTCTGAGAATCTTGGATCAAATCATGCTCTGAATGAATGTCTTTGGGCTGGGAATCCTCCAAAATGGGTGGAGGAGTTCAAAATCAGCAGTTGCTTAGTATTAAAGAAACTTGCTGAAATGTATTATAAATCTGGGTTGACTAGCACCTTATCATCAGTTTTACACCAGCTTATATCTGAATTCCACCAGCTAAATCTAGTCCATCAGATTTCCGATGACTCTGTTAACATCACGTGTGAGCTACTGAAGCAGTATATCAAAGTGAAAATAGGAAAAGATATTGAGGAGATATATATTTGTTTTCGGCTTTTGAAAAGGTATCTTAATATTGCTGGTTAGGATCGTACGCTGTTGAAGGGCTCATTGTTTTCATATGGTATTATGTGCTTTCTTCCTTAGTATCTCCCACCACAATTTTGTGTGTGTGTGTGTACATATGTGTGTAGCACATATGAGGGTGTTGCGTTGGATGTGTGGTAAGGCTAGACAATAGGATTTGAAATGAAAATATAAGAGAGTGTTGGGTTAACACCTATAGTAGAAAAGACGGTGGAAAATAGATTTAGGTGGTTTGGGCATGTGGAGAGAAGACTTATAGATTTTGTGATAAGGAGAGTAGATAAGATTGAGAGAAGTCAAACAACTAAAGGAAGAGGAAGACCTAGAAAAACTATATGGAAAGTTATTAAGAAAGATCTTGAGATTAACAATTTGCATTAGCTGTTTTCACACCCACTTTTATGGGGAATAGATGCGTTTGTAGTAAATATGGAAATGGCATCAAAGTAATTTTAGCAGTTTGTACATTTCAAAATTTGTGACTTATTCTTATAATTTGGACAAATGAAAACACCAAAATTTCTTATATATGGAACCAGAGAGAGAGAGAGTATTTCAACTTTGACTGATGACACAGTTACATATTAAAGGATATGTGTCAAAATGGTGGCTGTGGCCGGTGAAGTTAAATTCTTTTCTTTTTTGGATTATTATCTTGTGACAAACTTTGGAGTGACTCATAATTTGTTTTCAGGTTTGCAGCAACATCACAATTTTTCCTACAAGTGTATAATGGTGTATTTCCATTCCTTCAGGTATACCTTATCAACCAAACAAAACATCATGAAAATAGGGTGGAAATTAGCAGGGGTGTATGGTTGCTCTTGAAATGTTTTAATAGGATGAAGTCTAGTCACGGCTGGTGGTTTGAACTAGGAAAAATATATCTTTTAATGGATATGGTATTTGGTAGTCTTAGTTAAAGTCTTTTTAAGTGCTGGACTTACTCTTTTGGAAATAAAATAAATGTATCTATTCTAGTTAATGAACAATTGATCAGTGTGAGCACAAGAAAATTACGAAAGAGAGGCAGGCGGATGAGGTCTCCTTAACAAATGATCAAAACAGTAAAAAAAGTTTCCTGTTTATTATCTCTAATCATGTTAATTAACAAATATTTCCTTTTATGTTCCTTAATGAATTTTCTGATGCCCATAACATGTTGATGCCTAATTAGGCTCCTCTAAAACAAGGGGTGCACTTAACGGGGAACTAAGTTGCAACTGTTGATTGAAAAATTAACTTACCAGACTGAAGAAATAATGCACAATTTATATGTAACAAAAAATGATGTTAAAATTAGCTCGCATGATTATCTAATTGTATGGCTATAACTCCAGACTTTCTCCTATAAAATGCACCCTCACTTCAGTGGAAACAGATGTATTGTTTTCTAGTGTTTGATAATCATGTGCTAACATATAAAAGTTCTCGTTTGACTGAAGGAGTTGGTTAGACCTGATAGATTGGGAACTGGTCGCCTTGCAGGCCTGGTTGAGGTATAAAAACCTGTTGTAAAAAAGAAATAAGCAAATAACCTTGTGTTTTCCTATCAACATGACTGGCCTGTCTAGTCCAAAATATTTTTAGCGGAAATTTTTTATAGAAGTAATGTGAGATGTTTATGTGCAACCCAATGTCAAATAACTACTTTATAGTGGATTTTTTTGGTCCTTTGATTCTGGTCTTAAACATGATGTATACTACCACGTGTAGAATACGTAACTATATAATGTGTCCTATTATGTTTAGGTTCTGCGTTTATCGTGGGAATATATTGAAATGGAAAAAATTCCTTTGAAGATGTAGCTGAAACTTGAAACACATTTTTAGCACGTGCTTTCTCTTCTCTTTTCATCAATACATATTGAATTAACTCTGGTTTAAATTTTGTAGGAAGCTGTTGATGACAATTATGGAGGGAGCTTGTTTATAATCCCATAGTAACACACAGACAGTCACAGTCTTACTTCTACTATGGGATATTGAGAAAAAAATCTCTGGTTTCTATGTGAGCCTATGTGGCCACCCAACAAACCAACAGATCTATCGACCATGATATCTTGCAGAGTATGTTTTACTTTAATGTGATGGCTAAACATTTTCTGCTGTGTATGTGCTTATTTAATGGATGTTGTATTTAAGTTCTAGTAAGAAACAAACATTCTTCATCTTTTTTATTATTGCGCCTTTTTATGTTGCATTTTACTTTATGCTCAAATGTATGAATCTTCATCTACTATTCATCTTCAAGACCCTTTCTGTATCACTTCCTGTTAGCTTTGCTACATTGATCTGATATGAATCTGTTTCCATTTATACATTGCAGAACAACCTGATGATTTGAAAATTAGAGATAGAAGATATGATAAAACAGGTTAGTATGTTTTGGAAAACTGAAGTATGTAATGATGATTAAGGTTTGCATTCCCATTGGTATCAATTTGTTCACGAGTTGCAATTTGGTTTTTGGGATGTCTTTAAGTTGGCGTCAAGGCTTAAGGTTGATGTTCTAATATGTTGTGCACCCCCTCCTCCCGACACAACATTCTTGCAGGAAGCAAGAACACCCTATTTTTTTTTATATTGTAACAAACAAACTAAAATTCATAAAAGTTAAATAGCTTTCAAAAAAACTGTAACGAACATTATGTTTGAACAATTCTCACTTTATAAGCCTTAATGCCCTATAGCTAGCTATAAGCAATTAGCAATGCCTAGGACATATCTCTTATCAACATAGTACTCTCAACACCTTCCTCATGTTCAGGACTGAACATATGAAGTGTATACTAATATGGAAAGCTTGTCAGCATGTTCAGTAAGTTTTCCATGTTTCCATACTTTGGAAGTATCTTAAAATTTATGGGTGAATAGATAAATATTTATCTGACATGTTGGCATCCATAATAAATGAATAGGTTTAAAGAACTTGTATTGCTTCTGGTTTGATGTTTTATTCTATAATTATGAATAGCATTTGTCATGTGTAACCTTAATCAATTTAGGACCTGTATTATTTTAATTTTCCAGTTCTTTGTAATGTGACGGCCTCTGCCAGAACTATATTATCTGCGGTTACATGATAGAATCTGAACATGTGTATTGCCTTCATTTTCTTACACAACAGGGTTGAGATTGATGTGATAACACTTGCTTAGTTATTGAATCAGGCATCATTATTGTATTTACAGCTGGGAAGAGGGCAGATTTGGTCTTGGAGAATCATAATAATAAGCTGCTTGTATAATTCAGTGCTGCTTTGCTGCAAAAAGAGGTAATTTCTCAGCATGATATGATGAGTAGCAGCTTTGGTTTGGTAGGTGGTATTATGCTTGGCAACGGGCAACAAGATGGAGATGGACATGGAAATGCTGATACCCGACCTACTAAATTTAAATTACACACGCACAAGGTTGGAGCCTGGGAATTTTATGAAACCGCCTGTGTTGCTGCCTGCCATGTCCTTGCAGCATGACTGCATGAGTCCAATACTAAGAGATAAATTTTCTGTATGTAGCACCATTATTTTGCAACAGATATGGGTTATTTTTAGACATGGACATGGTTTGTCACAGTAAATGGGTGAGGACTGGAACTGATCTATTAGTTGAGCAGTATTTTTCAGTCAAAATGGAGCTCACTTGCTAGCAACCACTAAGCATCAACACCGGATCTCAGACTCCTCGGAATAACATTTTGCCACTGCTCACTGTAATTTGAAAGAATCTGGTTGGAGGCATTGTATAGAAATTTGCATTGTATAGAAATTTGACCCAATAGTTTTTCCCCTAAATAGAATATTATTAAATTTGGCTCGGTCTTATAGTCAATTTATTGGTTGTTGATGACAATTTGGCTCGTTGTTTAACTGATAGTGGAATTTTTATAACTTTGGAATAAGGATCATGGAAAGTCAACATTATTATGGAACCATTAAGCATCTTATGAGGATTAATTTCAGGTTGGGAGGAAAACAAAATAAATTTAACAATCAAAGCGGTCTAAATTGAAGCAATTTGTTGTTTTAGAAAACTAACTTCATTATGTTTCAGTTAGGATAACTCATACTTTTAAATATTTTAGACTTGATCTAGCGATTTTGTCAAATTAAACTCATGATTAATATCCCTCCCTAATTTAAAATAATTGTATCACTTCATCACATATAATGTTCAATTAGATGTTTAATTTGTCTAGCACTTGTACGATTCAGTTTGAATAACCACTTGTTAAGTAGGCATAAATTTATGTTCATTTTTATATCATTTTTTAAGCAACAAAAGCATTTTTAGTAAATTTGAAGACTCTAATAGAATTATTATTTTATTTTTAAAAACATATAGCTCACTTTTACCTGAACATATCAAAAATATTAATCATTCATTTTTTATTATGATCAAACTTTCATTTGTTAATTCATGCTTGTTAGATTTAATTTATATTTTAGGAATATATTTTAGATTTAATCTATATTTTAGAAATATCTTTTTAGAGGATATTATTATATCTTTTTATATCTTTGTTAGAGGATATTTAAGATTCCATTTTGTGTATAAATAGCCTAGTGAGGTAGCTCAATATAATTCATTGTAAATCATTATTTCTTATTTTATAATCATCATTTAATATATTCTTTTTGCCTTTCATCTCTTCTTCGTGCATCAATTGGTATCAGAGCTCCGGTTTGAAATCCACAGGGAAAACGAGAAACACGAGAGAACAGTGAGGTGCAATGTGATAATCGTTGTTTCTGATTCTGGGGATTTGGGAAACACTGTTTTATTGAGTTTCTGCGTAAATTGCACAAGGTAGAAGATGAACGGAAACGACGACGATGTCCATTCCAAGCTTCCAGTATTTGATGACAAAAATTGGAATTATTAGAAGATCCAGATGCGCGTGTTATTTGGTTCTCAAGATGTGTTAAATTTTGTCACCGATGGCTATGATCTGTTAGAAGCAGACGCAACAGAGGTACAGAAGATAACACAGAAGGCGTTAAGGAAGAAAGATCAGAAGGCGTTGTTCTACATCCATCAATGTGTGGATGCAAATGTGTTTGAGAAGATTGCTGATTCTAAAACAGTAAAGGCTGCGTGGGACACACTGGTCATATGTTACGGTGGTGACGCATCAGTGAAGAAGGTGAAGCTTCAGTCTCTTAGAAATCAATATGAGAATCTTAACATGAAGGACAACGAGAAGGTTTATGAGTACATCTCTAGAGTGATTCTGATCACTAATGAGATGAAACTTTGTGGATAAACTCTTTCTGAACAAGTAATTATTGATAAGATCTTGAGATCTTTAACTTCTCAGTTTGATTACATCGTGATAGCAATTGAACATTCTAAAGATCTGAGCACTATGAGAGTTAAAGAGATGCAAAGTAGTCTAGAGGCGCATGAGTTGCGTATGACTGTGAGAATTTCTGAGAGGGAAGTAGAGTAGCAGGCTCTGAAAGTAACTTCTGGTAAGAAGTATCAGAAGCAGACTTGGTCAGAAGCCAGGAAGAAAATTAATGGTGGTCAAAGGTCAGAAGCTTCAAACTCTGACAAGCAGAAGAATGTCCAGAAGGAAATGAGAAGTCTGACAAGAAGAATGTTTAATGTTACTGTTGTAAAAATTTTGGTCACTATGTCAAAGATTGCTGGTCAAACAAAGAAAGGAAGTCAGAATAAGCAAATATAGTTGGAGGAGAGTCAGATGATGAACCTGTGTTATTGTTGGCTTCTGAACCTGATGATCTGAATTTATCAGAATGGTAGTATATAGACACAGGGTGTTCAAACCATCTTACTGGACACAAGAAATTGTTGGTTGATTTTTACTCTGAGAAGAGTACAAAGATCAGACGTGCTGATGATAAATATCTCAATGCAGAAGGCATGGGAAATATCAGAATTATTCTAAACAATGAGAAAGCAGCAGTGATCTAGAATGTATGGTATGTACCTGGTATGAAAAGCAATATGATGAGTGTGAGATACCTAGTTGAGAAAGGTTTTTCAGTTATCATGAAGGACAATCTTCTGAAGTTGTATGACTGTAATCAGAAGTTGATTATGGAGTCAGAACATGGAAGGAACATAACATTCAAGGTGAATGTTAGAGCTACAAACTATGAATGTCTTAGTGCAATAAGTGTTGTCAAGGAGAGTGAGTTGTGGCACAAAAGATTTGGTCATCTGAATTTCAGAAGTTTAGGACATCTGAAATCAAAGAATCTGGTACATGAAATTCTTACAATCAAGAAGCCTGAAAAGTCATGCATGGTGTGCATGGAAGGGAAGCAACCAAGATTACCATTTGCATTAAAAGTAGCTCCAAAAGCATAACATGTCTTGAGAGTAGTGTATTTTGATGTGTGCGGTCTTTTTCCAGTAGCATCAACTGGAGGGAATAAATATTTTGTGTCATTTGTTAATGAGTTCACCAGAATGACATGGGTATCTCTCATAAAGTTCAAACACGAGGTGTTTGCTGAATTCAAGAAGTTCAGACCGAAGGTTGAGAATCAGAGTGGTCAGACTCTGATGATTCTTAGAACTGATGGTGGTGGTGAGTATAACTTCACAAAATTCAGAGGTTTCCGTGAGGAGAATGAAATTGAGCATGAGGTTACTGCTCCCTATACTCCTTAACAAAATGGTCTTGCTGAAAGAAGAAATCGTACCTTGCTTGATATGGTGAGAAGCATGCTGAAAGAGAAGAAGATTCATAATACTCTGTGGGGAGAAGTTGTTGTCACTGCATGTTATGTGCTCAAAAGATGTCCAACGAAGAAATTGAAAGAAATAGTTCCTATTCAGAAGTGAATTGGAGATAAGAAAAGTGTTAGTTATTTGAAGGTGTTTGGTTCTGTATGTTACAAATATGTCCCAGAAGCCAGAAGATATAAGTTGGATGATAGAAGTAAATTGATGTTGCTGGTGGGGTACTACAGTACAGGTTCGTACAAACTTTATTGTCCAGAAACTAATAAATTTGAGTTCAGAATAGACGTCATTGTAAAGGAATCAGAAGTTTAAAATTGGGAAAGATCTCATCCCGACTCTGATGAGAGAACTCCCAAAGAAAAGTCAGAAACACATGTTTCTGAAGCTGGTAAAGACTTTGACTCTGAAGAAGATACAAAAGGAGAAGATGATTCTGACTCTGACTCCGACGGTGATCCAGACTCTGACAATCAAGGTTCTAGAGAAAGTTCAATTTCTGAAGCAAGTGCTTCTGAAGGGAAAAGTTCTGGTATCCAAAGTTCTGAAGGTCCAGTTCAGAGGCAACAAAGAGTCAGAAGTATCCCAAGAAGATTTGCAGAGTTTGACATGTTGCAAGACACTGAAGTAGACTCAGAAGGAGAAGTTATTCAGTGTGCAATATTAGTAGACTCTGAACTTGTGAGTACGGAAGAGGTTCTTAAGCAGCAAGTTTGGTTACAAGTCATGAAAGAAGAACTTGATGCTATAGAGAGAAACAAGACTTGGAAGCTGACAAAACTTCTAAAAAGCAAGAAAGCCATCAGCTTCAGATGGATTTTCAAACAGAAGCTAAAGCCAAATGGATCAATTGACACACACAAAGCAAGATTAGTAGCAAGAGGCTTTCTACAGAAGCCTGGGCTGGATTATTTTGAAGTGTTTGCACCTGTAGCGAGACATGAAACAATCAGATTAGTGATTGCAATAGCTGCTAACAGGAATTGACCTCTGATATTTAGATGTAAAATCTGCATTTCTGAATGATCCATTACAAGAAGAGGTATACGTATCACAACCTCTTGGATTTGAGAAAAAGAATCAGGAAGGGATAGTGTTTAAATTACATAAAGCCTTGTATGGATTGAAGCAAGCGCCCAAAGCTTAGAATTTGAAGATTGATTCGTTTTTCAAAGAATAAGGGTTTCAGAAGTGTGAGATAGAGTATGGTGTTTATGTTCAGCATACTTCAGAAGATAATATGATTCTGGTCTGTTTGTATGTTAATGATATATTACTCACAGGAAGTTCTGAACAAGAGATAACTGAGTTCAAGAAAGTTCTGATGAATGCGTTCGAGATGACAGATCTTGGGAAAATGAGTTTCTTTCTAGAGATAGAATTTATGCACTCTGAGAAAGGAATCATTTTGCATCAGATGAAGTATGAACTAGAGCTTCTGAAGAGATTTGAGCTAGAGAATTTCAAAGTTGCTATCACACTTGCTGATACGAATCAGAAGTTGGACTCTGATTCTGATGGAGAGGACGTGGATGCTACAACCTTCAAACAAATGGTTAATTCTCTGAGGTATTTGTGTAATGCCAGACCTGATATTTGCTATGCAGTTGGAATGATTAGCAGATTTATGAGTAAACTAAAGTGGTCTCATTATCAAGCTGCTGTCAGGATTCTGAGGTATGTAAAAGGAACTCTGAAGTATGGAGTGTTATTTCCGTCTGAAAGAAAGATCGAATCAGAACTTGAGTTATTCAGACTC